CCTCCCCCCCCCCCCCATTAAATTTTCCCCAGCCCTTCCTGTTTTAAGACTTTTTTTTTTTTAAGACTCTGTATCCAGCTTTTGACATGCTCGGCTATTAGCATAGCAGGAAACATGGGGGTCTCGGGTGGGCTGTGCGGAGTCCATGGTGGGCTCTGCAGGATCTGTGGTAGGCTCTGCAGGGTCTCGGGTGTGCTGTGAAGGATCTCTAGTGGGCTCTGCAGGGTCTCAGGCTGCAAACCCACCATAGACCACTGCAGAGCCCACCACAGATCCTACACAGCCCCTCTGCGGACTGCAGGGTCCCAGGGGGACTATGTAGGATCTGTGATGGGCTGTGCAGGGTCTCAGGGGGGCTTTGCAGGCTCTGTGGTGGGCTGCGACCACAGATTCTGCAGAGCCCACCTGAGACCCTGCATAGCCCACCTGAGACTCTTGGGTGGGCTGTGAAGAAACTATGCTGGGTTCTGGGTTCTTTAGCACAGTATGATCCTCTTACCTGCATCTGCTGTCTCGAGTCGCCTGCTGCTGGACCTGACCTCCTTCACCACCGTGTCGGACCAGTGCTGCTTGGTCTCCAGCCTCCTCCCCCGACCGGCGCTGCGGGGACACTGACCCCCTCGCCTCCTCAATTAGGCAGCCGAGGCTGCTGGATTCAGTGCAGCCCAGCTCACCTGACTGCCTTGTTTGTCTTGCGGCAGATACGTCCCTGGGAATATGAGCCCAGTCATGGATGTTGAGGGCTATATAAAAAGAGGAATTCATGAATTCCATAACATCTTTCGCAGCCAAAGCATACTTGGCGGCCATTCATATTTGAGTGCATGTCTCACAAAAAGGTTTGGGCTAAAAGCAGGATAGCCTAATATTGGAAGTACCACATCTCTTTTAGGGTGGTTGGCCTCTGGTGCCACAAGTGTAGGTGCTGATTTCGTCTGACATGTGCCTGAAACAGAATCGGGACTGGTTGGAAAAGCACTATGGGGAATACAAGGAGGGAGGGTAAGGGATCACCGTGCAGAGAACACAACGCCCCCCAACCTGGTGTATTAGTAATCCCCACAGTAGCCAGTAAACACGGTAAGATGCAGTCATTTTCCCCCTTGGGTGCACAGGCATCCTCCTGTGCTCCAGATGCTGGTGGTCACTGTCTCTGATCTTTAACCTCACTGTCTGGATCCATAAGGAGAGGAGTGGAATCTGCTGGACATGCATGTACACACTTCCCAGAGGTGACTGAGGGCCGTCACCTGCTGCACATGAAGTGGTGAGCTCCCCTTTTGTCCTGTGCACACCATGCACAATGCCCTGAGGCTCAAAGTGTGGCACCCAGCAGGTAAAAGATTCTGCGCCAAGCTGTTGACACATCTCTTGTGACCCTGTCCTACAACACTGGCTCCAGCCTTATGAGGAGGTGAGCATGGCAGCCTACATCAAGGCACAGTAAGATGGGTGTGGAACTTGGGGAAGGGACAGGAAAGTAGGGCCACGGACCATCTGGTCAATTAAAAAACAATATACATTTTGCTGAGTTCCTGGTGGCAGCAAACAAACATCACTGAGGGCCAAGATGTATTTAAAGTGCCTGCTTGTGTTTACTGGAGTGATGGAAGCAATAATCACTCGCATAGCTGTCCTGGTAGATGATTGGGGAAAGACACTTGTGAGTGAGACCCATACCTCTGCCCATGTTACCGCTGGCATATCCTCAGGGGAATCTTCCTTTGCCTCCACAAGATGTTTTAAGCAAACTGCTGATTAATAGTTTTAGCTCCAACGTGGTTCTCTTGGTTTGCAGATTCCAGGCGGCATCATTGAAGAGTCCCAAGTTCTGCGCGGCGTCATGGTGAACAAAGACGTCACACACCCAAAGATGAAACGGATGATCAAGAACCCCCGTATCATCCTCCTGGACTGTTCCCTGGAGTATAAGAAAGGAGAGAGCCAGGTGAGGGTGCCCGATGGCTGCTTTTAGTCTGCCGGCGCCAGTGAAGCTGATCATTTTATTAACATCAGTTTTGTGGTCCTTCTGACAGACAGAGATCGAGATCACCAAGGAGGAGGACTTTTCACGAATCCTGCAGCTAGAGGAGGAGTACATCCAGCAGATCTGCGAGGATATCATCAGACTGAAGCCGGATGTGATCATCACAGAGAAGGGAATATCTGGTGAGGAGAGGGGGGGGGGAAGGGCTGCACCACCTATAATGCAAGTCCCGGGTACCTTCACAGTAATGGCTGAGCAGTAGAGAGGAGTCTGTGTCTGCACCAGGCTGGAGTGGGCAACTGTGATGCTTTAAAGCTGATCTTCCCTTCAGTCTTGCACAGTTGTACCGGCTCCGTGCTGAAGTTGCATACTTCTTTTCACTGCACTCTGCGAGCTTCTCACAATGCATTCAAATCTGCAGCAAGTTAGATATAGCCCTCCTCATTTTCTGAATGGAGGATCCAGCATCATCTAGCTCTTTCCTCAGCCTGACTGTCCCCGGCTGGCCCCTTTCATTAACTTTTTTGGGGTTCTTTCATGGAGACCCGGGATCAAATGCATATAGTGTCTGGAGCTGTGTGCATGGAAATTAATTCTTAAGAACGCCCACTCCTCCAGACTGACGCCCATCCATCAGTTCATTTGCAGAACGCCTCCCAAGCCAGCCCACTGCTTGTATCAGGGCTGAGGGGTCTTCAGAGCAGTACTGAGGCAGGGTGCTGTTATGTTATCGGGAAGCTATGTACAGCTCCCTGCTGGCTCTTCACACCAGCCATGATCTCTGCATTGTGTAGCACAAAGACCCAGTGATGACCTCACCAGGACTAAAATAAGGTATATCATGAAAACATTAGGGCGGGGGAGAGGAAACGGGAAAGATAAGATATAAGCAGATTAAACCTCAGCTTTAGGATTCTCTGCGAGAAGAGTATTTGTCATGTAATTCCTTTTTCCTTTCTTTCAGACCTTGCTCAACATTTCCTGGTGAAAGCCAATATCACCGCCATCCGCAGAGTCCGCAAGACCGACAACAACAGAATAGCCAGGTACTTCTCGGGACTGAGATGTAGAACCCTGTTCTGTGGCTTGGTTAATGTTTTCATACATGTAAATGACAGCACTGAATTCCTGTATGCAGGGCCTGTGGAGCTCGCATTGCCAGCCGCACGGATGAGTTGCGAGAGGAGGACGTGGGAACGGGTGCCGGGCTATTCGAGATCAAGAAGATCGGTGACGAGTACTTCACCTTTATCACAGAATGCAAAGACCCAAAGGCCTGCACTATCATCCTGCGTGGGGCTAGCAAGGAAATTCTTGCGGTAAGTGACCCCCCCAAACGGGCTGTTGGCACATTGAAAACCCAGCACCACCTTGCTGGACAGATTCATACTGTATAAATACCACCAGTCTTGTTTCCTAGTACAAGGATCTCCCTACTTCTACTTTATCCATTCTGTGGATCTGTGCTTCCTCTCCCTCTCCTGCTATTTCTTTAATATTCCTCCACCAGTTATCAGATCAGCAGTCATGGTGGCGGTGTAGGGGGGAGGAACAGCTTCCACATTACATGTTCTCTATAGATTTTTAGGATGTAAATTCCATAGTACAGGTATCTGTTAAAGGCTGATGGTTTTTGTGCTTGTTACAGGAGGTGGAGCGCAACCTGCAGGACGCCATGCAGGTCTGTCGCAACGTAATGATCGACCCATACCTGGTCCCGGGAGGGGGAGCATCAGAGATGGCCGTGGCATATGTCCTCACAGAGAAGTCCAAGACCATGACTGGGATTGAGCAGTGGCCATACCGTGCTGTGTCCCAGGCCCTCGAGGTCATTCCACGAACACTGATCCAGAACTGCGGAGCCAGCACTATCCGGGTGCTAACCTCTCTAAGGGTGAGGGTCATGCCAAATCCAGCTATCACCACAATATAGACATGCGCAGCCAAGTGGGCTTTGTATATAAAATGGCAGTGGATGGGCTCTCGCACCCTTAGGATTCCTATGCCCACATGGCACATGCACTAGTGGGCGGGACGAACGGCGCTGTAGAAATACAGCGACGGACGCCACTGGAGAAATACAGCGTCCTGTTACCAGGACAACTAGTGGCGCCTCTTCTAGCTCCCCTCTCTCAATGACAGCGGCGGCATTCTCCCAGTACAGAGAAGCGCTCTGGTCTTCACTGTGATCTGCCTTTTCTCCTTTCAGAATGTGAGTCCTATTATGACTATTACTTCAACGTTGCATCTTCTTTCTTCACTGTCTGTGTTTGACCCCCCCCACGCAAACTACACTTGTATACTACTCCCCATGTTAACCACCATGGGAAAGAGCTACGGAGTGTATGCCTGCTGGGAACTGTGGTCCCAGGAGGCAATGTTGGCACCTTGGTGTTTAACGGCCCTCCTCAAGTGGTGGAACGCCAGGGCCAAGTTGCTACCTTGGCGGTTAACAGGCCCCCCCAAGTGGTGGAACGCCAGAGCCCAGTCGCAGCTGCAACTCTAGTAGTTCCACCGATTGGGGGACCAGGACAGGAGGAAGAGGGCCCCGTTAACCACCTCAGCTCCCAGCAGGCCAACTCTCTGCAGCTCCTTCCCATGGCGGAGAGGTTTCTTACATCAGGGCCCTGAAGTTTCTAGTTACGCCTCTGGATGTCACCATGCTACTGTTTCCAGCTATTCTCCGAGAATGTGCTTGGATAATTGACAGCCACGTCTAGAAGCTTACCTCACTGTTGGACTATGGTAATGTTGCTTGAGGGAGACGGAGCGTTCACAGGCACAAGCCCTATGACTATGCAGAAGAGGAAGGAGGAATTAAATGCTGAATAAAAAAATATAACAGAATTGGGGATTAAGAAGTACCCCACATTTTTTTTTGTTTTTTGGGGGGGTGTTATATACTACCATCCTTCATGTTACTCATAGGTGTAGCATGAAACTTGATCCAAAAGGTGGACTATGCCTTTTAGGAGTGTCAGGCACTGAGTTTGCATATTACCTGATCGTCTATATCAGGGGGAAAAAAAGGTCAAATTAATGATTTGCTGTATTCTGTGACATTAAACAGAATCCCTCTAAATTATATTTTGGTTTATTAAAGGCAAAGCACACCCAGGAGGGCTTTCAGACTTGGGGTGTGGATGGAGAGGCCGGCGTCTTGGCGGATATGAAGGACCTAGGAATCTGGGAGCCGCTGGCAGTGAAACTGCAGACTTACAAGACTGCAGTAGAGGTAAGTAAAGAAGACCTTTCTTTTTACACCGGTATGACCCATACTACTGGACTGTACTGAGAACCAAAGAAGCTTGCACTCTAATGTGCCACCAGAGTAACATAGTATTATTTATTTCTATAACTCAGACATATTCGGCAGTACTGAACACTGAGCCAATCACATCAGTCTCTGTACCAGAGTCACTTACACTGTAATGTCTCCCTACAGTCACATACTATTAATATTATACATTGATATAGCACTGACATATACCGCAGCGCTGTACAGAGGACACAGTCACATCAGTCTCTGTACAGAGGAACTTACACTCTAATGTCCCCCCACAGTCACACACTATTGTATATTAATATAGCTTGGATAAAGAACAGATATCCCCAAGTCGAGATCCCAACATAGGATAGTAAATATCAAGAAAACTTTCTTCCAAAATATATTTATTTGTTTTTTTTGGTATCGAGTACCGATTTATTTTTCTTTCGGTACTCGTCGATACCAAGTACCGATACCGGTGCTTCCGCTGGCATGGAGCTGGCTTCCCGGGCAATCTGATTACCCAAGAAGGTGGCTCAATGTTGTTTTGACCGGCTTGATTGTGATTGGCTGGAAAAATGGCTTTCCAGCCAATCAGCATCAAGCCGGCTGTTCGATCGTGAAGTTGCTTCCTGGCCAATTGGCATGGAGCTGGCTTCCCAGGCCAATCGGGAAGCTGGGTCATTACTCGCCACCCAGCTTCCTGATTGCACAGGAAGCTGGCTCCATGTTCTCCTACAGCACTCCCAGTCAGAGTAAATCTTCGTCTGATTGGTAGTTCCGGTATCGGGGGTTAAGTATCGAAGCATTTGAGCGAGTATGAGTACTCGCCCAAATACTCGGTATCGGCACCCATACTAATATCGATATCGGTGGATCCCTAATATTTATTATTAACCTTGGTCAATGAGTATATCAAATAAATATATAAACACACATTTAAAACATCCTAAAAACAAAGAAACCTTTCTGTACCGTCCACGGCTGCAATAATTATCATCATGTCTTCTATATCTTCATAAATATAGACCTGATCCCAACTACAAAACGAGCCTCTATAAATATGTACCTGATGAAAGAGCTATATAGTGAAGACAAAAAGTAATCCTCGGTTTGGGAGTCCAAAGAGCACCCACTCCTGTAATCAGTAACACGTTTAGAGATCACCCCATCCGATTACCCTTGCTGGAAAACAGATTCAGTATCTTTGTAAAGTATGCAACAGTTTTAATGTGCAGTTACTTGGACTTGTAGTATCAATTGAAATTCCTCTTAGAGAGCTGATATTGTAATCTTGTGTGCAGAGATGGATATGATCTACGCATAAGATTACACTATCAGCTCTCTAAGAGGTTGATAAGCCGGGTTCATACATGGATAACATTCACGTGAAATCGATACATTACCTCTGACGTGGCTCTTTGTGCGTTTGGAAGGTGAAGACTATACCAGCACATTATGGTAGTTGGGATCAGGTGTATATTTATGAAGATATTTAAGACATACATGATGATGATTATTACAGCCGAGGGAGGGGTCGAGAGGGAGCGAGAAAGGGAGAGTTTTATATGTACAGGCAGTCCCCGAGTTACATACATACGACTCCTATTTACAAATGGAGGCTATTACTGTACAGCAGGGGTAGTTGTAATGCTACAGCGCTCATGCCGACGAGGAGTGCCAGCCTTTTTGGGTCTGGTTCGTAGTACCGTACGTACATTACAGGAAGTTGGCTCTTGTTAGACGTGCAGACGAGGGGTGCCCACCTCTTCCAGGTTACTGTGAGGTTTTTACTGCTGTCCGTATCCTCGTTTGAAAGATTTAATCTCACTTCCTGTCATTGAGACAACAGGAAGTGAGAGGAAATCCACCCCTAGCAAGGGAAATTCACTCCTGTGAGTGATCATGGGACAAGGTGTCTCCACTGAAGCTTTATTACCAATCCTTGTTTCCACAACTCAAAATGTTCTAAATCCAATTGTCACAGGGACAGAAAGTGAGGGGAAATCTTCTGAATAGGGGCACACACAGCAAAACAAACTTTCCAGGGGTAAACCCTTCCCTGCTATCCAGCTAAATTTTTGTTTTGGAGTTAGTTAAAAAATTTGCATACAAATTCAACTTCGGAACAAACCTACAGAACCTATGGTGTGTGTGTGTTATTTTTATGTTTTTGAGATATAGATATATACTAATTGACTAAGGTTAATATATTTTGGAAGAAAACGTTTTACTTGATATTTACTAGGGATGCACCGATACCGTTTTTCCCCATCGAGTATGAGTACCGATTGTT